TTGTGGTCTCTTCCAACTCTATGATTCTATGATTCTATGAAAAATCCATGGACAAGATCCTGCATCAGAGGGTACAAGGCATACTTTTATGATGACAAAGCTACATTGTTGACATGGCATGCAACCATGCTAGTGAACTGAGACAATGCAGAATGTGTTCCAATGTACAACATGCCTCGTTTTGCATCAGGACAAATTGTGCACTGGGATCATTGCTCAATGGGCACTCTGCTCGATCTGCTTTGTAGTGGTTCCAGAAATATAGCTACATCTCGGCAACCCTTCTTAGAATATAAGCATTGTACACCATAACAGCTCACCTTTACACGATCATAAGTGCATTTACAATCATGTAAATACCTAACAGGATGCCAGCCCATGTTTTCCAATAGAAAACAGTGACTGGAGGGCTTTTTCCCAAATGTGAAAAATAATTTAAAAAGGTACAAAATAATCAAAAGTGTGCACAACTCAGGCAGAAAGCTCTTGAATCTTTCAACTTTGACATGTGAGAATGAATTAAATGATGCTTAACATGCCTACTGGCAAATGGCTACTCACCATGCCTACTGGCAAATGGTACAGTCGAACCTTCGCATCCATGGAAATACATTCCAGATACTCCCCCACATGGATATGAAATGCAGAACTTCAAAAAATGCAGAACTTCAAGTCCCATTGTCCCTAATGGTGGCATGGCCATATACATGCACTGCCATTGGGGACAATGGGGCTTGCCACCTGCAGATGCTTAAATCCGAGGATAGCAAGCCCACAGATAGCAAGGCCCCACCATAGTAGGAAGTTGATGGGAATATTGCAAGATGTACAGTCAGCCCTCTGTATCCACCACTTTTTATCTATGGATTCAACCACCCACGGCTTGAAAATATTCAAGAAAATAGAAATTCCAAAAATCAAACCTTGATTTTACTACACCATTGAATTTAATGGGACTTGAGCATCCACAGATTTTGGTATCCATGGGGGGCCTGGAACCAAACCACAGAGGGTACATAGGGCCCCCTGTACACAATTCATCAGTCACTAATAATATACCTGATATTCTCTGGTACGCTGTCAGTCACTAGCCATAAAGATTCTATCTATTTCCAAGTGTAAATTATTATTGCTCATTATATTTAGAGCCTTAAATAGGTTGATTCAACATACAGGATATCAGGAATCTGCTCTAAGCCAAGTTGGGTCATTTATCTACAGATCTCCATACCATCAGTATTCACTTCTATAAGCAGCTCTATGATGTTTCAGTGTGGCATAGTGGTTTGAGTGTTGGACTACAACTCTGGAGACCAGGGTTCAATTCCTTCCTGACCATGAAACCTACTGGGTGACCTTGGGCAAGTCACATGCTATCAGCTTCAGGGGGAGGCAAAGGAAAACCCCTTCTGAACAAATCTTGCCAAGAAAACCTCATGTTAAGGTCCCCTTAACATTGCCATAAGTCAGAAATGACTTGAAGGCACCCAACAACAACAACAACAACAACAATGATATTTCAGGCAGAGAATAAGCTTTGGCAGCCTTACCAGAAGAAACCAAGTATTTAACCTGGGACTTTGAGCATACAAAGGCAGTCATTTGCATTTCTCCCTACAGAAATCTTAGAGATTTAAACAACCCAAAAGACATGTTGGGGTTGATACAACCTGAAGAAACTCAAGTAAAATTTGACAGGTAAGCAGCAGTTTACTTTAGTGCAATTCAGGATCTTGTTCTGTGCTATAAGTCATGATGGGGGGAGAATATATATTGAGAAGAATTTCTCCACCCAGTCACCACCCACATATATTCTTACAAGTTTGTTTATTCTTTCTAGAAACAGACTTTCATGATAGGAAAAATAAACACACAGAAGGATGCAGGGCAAGAGGTACACGTTGTATCTAGCTTTGATGAAAACATGTTTTTCTTGTTAACACCTTGTTATAACTTAAAATCACAATACTGGGGGAAAAACTGTGAAGAAGACTGTATGCAGAGGCATGTTAGCTGAGGAATGAAATTTATCAATGCAGCTCCTTCCCACATAGCTACTCACTTTTATCTTCAGCCTAGTGGGTAGCCTTACAAAGCTTAAATACCCCCTTTGTTCTTAATGCTTTGAAGAAAGACATACAGTTGCATGTAATTCCCAGATGGGACAAAATGGTAAGGTGAACATTTGCACAATCAGTAGGGCTATTGAGTTGAGAGTAAGCCTCTCTGAATACATTTCAGGGTGAACCTCTGAGTAAATATGGTTTGAATTATGCTACCTACAACGTTACAATCAGAGACCCCTAGTCCTGCTAAGGTGCTTCTGTATGCAAAGAACTAGCTTCCAAAATGGACTAACATGTGGCATTTGGTGGCCAGAAGCAAAGGACAAGACTTAGAGTGACTGGTGAAAGGTTTAGGAGAAAAAGCCCTGCCCCAAAGACACAGGGTTACATGCCACTGAGTGTCACAGTAACTTGTATCAAGTGTGCCTCATTCATGGTGCCCAGAGGTGAGATTAAAGGAGGAAAGACTCCTACATATGGTCCATCTGATCACTAAGAAGAGGCCTATATTTGGTGATAGTGGGATCAAAGGAAAGGTGTCCAAAGTTGATGAGGGCATGAGGGAAGCTCCTCACATGGCCAGTTGTTGTCTCAGAGAATAGAAGACAAGTTTCAAGGTGGGCAGCACTGGAAGAGGAGACAGCTTGAAGATAGATAGATAGATAGATAGATAGATAGATAGATAGACAGACAGACAGACAGAGGGAGGCTGTGATGGGCTGAAGGGATTCATGTAGTGCCTGTTGCTTCTGTCCCTGAAACACTTCACATATTCAGCCAATGATAGAATGCACTACAAGCAACATGTTTCTTGATTTTGACACTAATAAATGAATGGCAGGCAGCTGCACTGGAGGAATTTGAGAATAAATGGCATTAGGAGGCAGGATCAGGGCAGCACGTGGGGCATTCAAAAGGAGGACAGAACAGATGACTGGAAGGAGAAAGGAAGAAGAGGGAGCAAGATGGTAGAGAAGGGGGTGAAGAAGAAAGAAATTACTGAGAGGAAAGAGAAGACAAAAGACAGGTGGACACAGTAAGAAGAGATACTTTGATAGGAAAAGTAGACACGGAGAGGCATAAGATAGAGGAATGACAGTTAAATGCCCTCTCTCATGTTCCTACCAACTTTGAAGATGGTAACAATGAGAAAAGGACCTCTCCCATGGATCTCAGGGCCTGGGCAATCTAATACAGAAATATACAGTCTGTCAGAGAGCTTGGACATAAGCTGTGTAGGGCTTTATAGGTCACAGGTTATAGGTCACAATCTTTAGTAAGAATAAAGGGTGCACATCTATGCAATAGTGAATCTTGTTGAGTTCCTAGATGAGTGGCAACAGGCCATAACTAGAAATGTTATGGACAGACACTAAGTCATGAAGGGCATGCTGAATGTGTGATTCTGGGATTTATACTTATTTATACTCTAAGAAAGGAAGTTTTAAAAGCTCTGATACAACATTGTTGTCAGTGGCAACTGGTGGTTTCCATTTTAGTAAAACAGAGAAACTACTCTGGTTTTTGTTCTGAATTTTAAAAGAGATACTTAAGAAACTGAATGCTATCCTCCATACATGCTCAGCACCTTTGACAGTTCCTTTAAAGTTTTGACAAAAATATGGAGTGGGTTGACTGCATCGCTGACATGGGGGTCTCTACTGGTTGCATCCTTGGTATGATGATGGCAGAGCCCTTTTGGAAGAAAGATCCTCAAATCTCCTGGGCAGTCTAACTAGTAGCTCCTCTGGCTGGAAGCATCAGGGGGCTGTAGACCACATTTTCCCCCATTTTAATCTATGTTAGCTGCTAAATGTAATGTTTGAATTGTTTAATATGCTTTTAGACTTTATTAACCATGGCTTAAAATTTAAATTGCCATCAAATGTTGTAGCATGGAATTTGGGCATTGGAATAAATAAATAAAATAATTAATTTAAGAAGTAAAACATTGGTAGCAGAGGTGAAACTCAAACTGGAAATATGAAGATTAACAGATCATTTAGCTCTCCTCTGTGTCCTGCAGGTGTGCATCAATCAAAAAACAAACAAAAACAAGGCCCAAACAGAGGTGCCAATGTTCAGCACTGTCTGAGGTGTTTGACCTCAACAGTAGCTCACAGAAGAGTGCAGAAACACAACCCAGTATGCAGTATTTGGCAATAAAGCACTGACCAACCTGAAATAAGGCACAGACACAGTTGACTTCTTCCAGAGTCCTTGGAGGCTTTTATCTTCCTGTTGCAAAATATTTACAACAGAAGCTCTGACTTCTGTCAACATACACTTTTCTGCTACAATCCACTTCTCCAACACACCAACTCCTATCTTCAACCCACACCTGTCCTGGGTTCCAGAGTCCTTATATACAGTGGTGATACTATTAGGGTTGACACCTGAGGTTTTTACCATTTACAGCCATAGAAATTATTTTACCACTTCTTTTGGAATGAGTGTAATAAATGTATCTTACCATGAATCCAGGATGCCATATGATGGTATATCATTTAAGGTATTTTCAGTGGTATAAGTAATATGTCTTCCATCTTTTTATAATAGTTATGAGACCATCTCGTCCTGGGGCTATTTCTGGGTGCATCCTTGTGGTTGTATTTGCTATCTCACTGATAAAAATATTTTGGTTTAGTCTATATTTTCTGTTCTTTGCTCAGTTTTATGAGCTTTTGATCATCTAGAGAGCTTTGAATTTTTTCTTTATTGCTTCTCATATCAGAATCATTTCTGTATAGATTTTAAAAATATTCTCTATATGCATTTTTAATATTCTTTTGATCTGTAATTGTCTTTCTGTTGTGGTATAATTTTGTAATGATCCTTTCTTTTTGTTGTCTTAATTTATTTGCCAGTAATTTCCCTACCTTGTTCCCTGGTTCAAATTGTTTCTGTCTAGCCATCATTAATTTAGTCTCTATCTCATTAATTGCCATGGTTTTCAGTTGATGTTGCAATATTTTAACTTCCCTCTGTATTTTTTCTTGCCTTTCTTCTTCTTCTTTTAATTTCAATTCTTCTAATAATAATTTCTTTTTTCTTCTTTCCTCCATTATGCATTAATTTTTATAAATGTTCCTCTAATGACCACTTTACTAGCATCCCATAAGATTTTATTCAATATACCCTCTGTTTGATTTTCTTTAAAGTAAAACTTTAAGGTTTCTTTAACTTTATTTCTTATATCCTCATCATTTAAATATCATTGAACATTTTGACTATCATAATGAAAATAAATTAGATATGATATTTATAGATGCTGAAAAAACCTTTGATAGAGTAAATTGGCTGTTTGTGTATGAAACAATCAAAAGGATGAATATGGGAAAACAATTTGCTAATTGGATTAATGCTATTTATAAAGAGCCCAAATATTAATAAACAACAAGAAAACAGATTTTACTAAGATAGAAAAAGGGACTAGACAAGGGTGCCCATTATCACCCTTGTTATTTATAACCGTTTTAGAGGTTTTGAATAACAAGATAAGGGAGGACCCTAAAATAGAAGATGTCAGAGTAAAAGGGCATACTTTCAAAATTAAAGAATTTGCAGATGATATTGTCTACTTTATGGAAAACCCTTTAGGAAATATAAATTGGTTATTAACTACGTTTCAGGATTATGGCAAAGATGCTGAGTTAAAGATCAATCATGACAAGACATCAATCTTACCTAAAAATTTATCAACAGCAGAAGAAAAGAACTTAAAGGAATAACTGGTTTTTAAATAGAAAATAAGGTTAAATATTTAGGTGTCTATTTATCTAAAGAAAAATTTATTTAAAAATAATTATGTAAAATTATGGAAAGAATTGAAGAGTGACATGGAAAAGTGGACAAAATTACATCTCTCATTTTTCAGAAGGGTTGCAATGATCAAAATGAACACACACACCCCAAAACTCATGTACCTGCTCCAAAACCTCCCAATAATATCAGACATAAGATGCTTTGAAAAATGGCAGAAAGAACTGTCTAATTTCTTATGGGAAGGGAAAAGAGCAAGAAAAAAATTGAAAGTACTAACAGATGATAAGAACAAAGATGGATATGCTTTACCCAATCTCAAATTATATTATTATGCTTTTTGCTTATGCTGAATTGAGGACTGGGCAAAACTGGATAATGAAAGAATGTTAAGTCTAGAAAGGCTTAATTTAAAATTTGATTTCCACATGTTTATGTGGTACAACAAATTAAGGGACAACAAGGATTTAACCACTATTTTATAAGACCCTTATTAAAAGTTTGGTTAATGATTA